TGATGGGCATTGTATATAGTGTATCTTGTTGTCACAAACTGTAACAAAGCAAGGCAGATTTCACATAGCTCGGAATTTCGAGCTATACGTATGTTGGAATTTCACATGACGTGCACCGGTGCGCCATAAGTTATTATGTTTACCTGTTCGTGACTCACAGTTGTGAGTCACATGATGTTATGACTTTCGTACATGACTCAATGTATGAGTCATGGGTTTCACTCAGGTGACGCAACTTGCACACCTGACTTGGTTATTATGTTTTGATTAGTTTTAGGTATGTTGCGCAGCGACTCATAGGAGTCAGCTGATGGATTTCACATCACTCATGGTTATGAGTCACAGGGTTCATGTAACGTGTAGTATAAGTCACGCCAGGTGAGGAGCTACTATATAAAGGGTCACTAGGACCCCCAGTATTAGCTCTTCACACGTTCTTTTTGTTTATTTCCTACCTTTAAGTTATTACAATAAAACATACCTTTTCGTTCTTTAAGATTTATCTTAAGAAACCTGAGAATTGTCTTTCCTCCCAAGGGAGAAAACTCTCTCTCCTCCTATGTCGAACGATTCAGTCCTAAACGAGAATATAAGAAGATTAGAGGAATAGGTGCGATAAGACAGAAGTCAAAAGGACTCAACTATCAGTACCGCGTAGGCCTTCGGCCTAAGAACTATTACCTTGCTACGAATTAAGAATCATTACTTGTCGCATCCCAGCGCCCGGTAGGATTCTTAATCCTTGTAGACAGTCTTTCTAGTATAAAACTCCTACGTTCTGGATTCTCTATTCGTACATTATGGTTCCTGACATCCTAGTTATCAGGAACAATTTTCAACATAATCAATACAGCAATAGGAACCTCTAACGCTGCCAACATTAGCATCAGCCTCTCTTTAAAGATTATAAACTTAGTATGTCTAGCGACTCTTCAAAATGGGAAACAAATTATTAGTACTAACGGAACTGGATACATAAAAACAAACTCCAACCCATGTGCTACTGAGATATGCAGGGCATGTACTGAACTCCATCGACTATAGCTCCCTTTAGCAGATACCATGATCTAGCCTTCCTGAACCACCTCACAAAACTTGAGCATTCTTCTCATGTCTGAATAGTTGTGCTATACTTCCAAGATTCAGCAGCACTTGCTCCTGTCATGTCTATCCAAAGTTCTTATTATCGCTGCAAATATCCCCAGGCAGGTCCTTACCAGAAACACCTGCACAGCACCCATGCCAATCTAGCCATTCTTCTCGCGTCAGCTACATAGCTGACCACCTCAGATGGTCCTTTTCACCCTAGTGAATCTGACCCATTACACCACTCTGATACTTTCCACCTGATAGATCACATGGATTCTGACTCTGAGTCGGAGAGTGATGCTATGGATTACTTATCTAACCAGTTGAATCCGGTGGCTACAGAGGAGTCCTGTATGGAATCACGCAGTGCATTTGATGTATCCTCAGCACCCAGCAAACTGGTAACTTTTCCTAATGCTGGGGAATCTATTGGAGAGGTGAAGAGATCTGAACGAGAAAACCACATTCTAGCGGAGGACCCATGGGATCCATTGGTGTGTGTGTACAATTTCCACCTTTTGTCTTGGTTTATTCCCAGCAAAGTCCCCAAGTCGCGTATCAATCAGTTTATTTCAAGTAGATTTGGTAATTTGGCATCTGTCAGCTACTGTTCAATGCATACACTCGAGAACCACCTCTGTATACTGGATCCATATGGGTCCTGTCTGTAATGGTACGAAGGGTAAGTGGATGATGGTATGAGAACATTCTCTTTCTTCTACCATAACCTTCTAGACTGTACCTAATATCTTCTTCATCATATGACCTATGGAGAAGATCTTATTTACGTACCACAATGTAAATAGGATCAGAATAGATACAGAGTATATGCTGAAATGCATACCGCAGACTAGTGGTGGGAAGTTCAAGTACTATCCTAATATCTTTCACCTTTTTACTAAAGATCTGGCTAACCTATGACAGGAAACTCTTTCACATAGCACCATGGTTCTTCCAATTATCAGGATGTCTGATCAGAACCATCACACTAACTTCTCTGGTGCCAAGAAGTCCTGGCCAGTTACGTTACGATAGGAAATCTTGTGGCGACTAGGCATAACAGGCCCCGATTGATGGCTATCCTCCTTCTTGCGCTCCTACCCGTCCCTCCTAAGTTGCTCCAGTTGGCTTCAGCAAGCAGATCCCAGAGAGAAATCAATACCAGCACTGTTAAAGGCATATTCGAACTCTTATTTGTACCCTTACAAGACACTACACATGATGATGTCCCAATTGACTGCATGGTTGGGAACGTCAGAATGTGCTTCCCAATATTGGCTGTATGGATTGTAGACCATATCGAAAATGTTGCCCTTCATGTAATAAAATCCAATGTCCATCCTAAATGTAAACTTAGTCCACACCAGCTAGGTGCCAATGTGAATATGGCATATCAGGCCTGAGATTATACGACATATGAGGAACTCGAGCAGCAACTTCGTGACCAGTTGGAGATGTCAGATTCAGACATGACCCACCGCACACTCAACATTCTGGATCTCAAGTCAGATGCTACAGAGTAAGGCCTCTGACTCAATTTCGATCTCAGGTTGCGACCCAATTGATCCCAGAGGGCATTCACCTTACCAAGAGAGAAAACTCGGCACATGGTAGTCTTTCGTCCCCTCCTCGCTCACAGCCAGTACCACCAGAGCCGAAAGTCACTTATATCCCCCGTACCTATAACTGTCGCCGCACCTCCCCCAGTGCCTCCAGCCCTACTCCGGCCACCTTTTCTCGACCTAGACCTACTCCGGTGACCTTTCCCCCACCTGAAGCTCATACTCTCAAACAACATTCAACCAAAGCACTTTGTCTTCTTTGTTGTTTGTCCCGCTTGCAAGATCTTTTGGGTACAGCACAGGTCATGTCTGTAAATTTGCGCTGCCGGGAGTGCAATTACGCATTATGCAAATCTTGTTTTTCCTTATTTCACAATCTGCACCAATAGCTTTTTTTTCCCTTCTGCCTCACTTTCTCTAGATCTTCAAGGAAGATACTGTATCGCATGCATCTAAATTTGATACCATGTGATGTCGATCATTTCCTTACAAGGCTAGTGTTCAACATTTTAAATGTGCCTGAATGTTTCAGTGGTTTAGGGGATATCCCAATCCAGGTAACCAGCTTAAGGCATTACGTTCCATCAGGTAAGCCAACCAAATACGAAACGCTGACCAGACCACAGTACATCTGAGATTGTACCACCCGCACAACTCATAGGAAGACCGCATCTTTACCACTACAGGTCGACAGGCAGCTCCAAGCCCGAGCCCAAACCAGGGAGTCATGGTTATCTCTCGGCCCCTCTCAACAAAACAAAGGAAAAAAATCAAACAGGTGACATGGGTACAGTCAATAAAGACTCCCCAAATGGGCCCCATGCCCATCACCCCAACCCCATGCACCACCCCCCGGTGCACCACCCACTCCGCGCCACAACGGGCACACCAATTATCAATGGCGACAGCCGGGCTCAGTCACGTTTCCGCCATGTGGCTCAGGTGCCTTCCGCGACGCCACTATACTGCCACAAAAATCATCATGGGTCCCATTCCCCCGCCTGCCCCGCACGCTCGCAAACGACGAAATCCATCGAAATGTAGATTATCCTGCCGAATGCCCAAAACATCTCAGCCGTGGCGGGAACCTTGGCATGGTTATGGTATAAGATGTTGCGAGGGCAGGAGACTGGGGAATCTACTTGTACTATTTTACCAGGAGTTAACCCATTTGGGTTGCGGTAGTCTACTGGCGAAAGTACTCAAGTACAGTACCGGTACTCGCACGATATGATCGCTCGGACTTCCACATAGCAATCTCGTAGCTGCCTTCTATAAATGAAGGGTAAATTTATAAAGTTTCAGATTATGAAAGGCTAAAAAAGAGCTACTAGAGTAGAGGTTTTAAGAAGCCGTTTAGGTAATCATGTATGAACCTCTGCGTCTATTCCTCTCGAGCTCAAAGCATACGCCCAATGTCTACCCCGGGCTCATACTCTTACACATTAGATATCTTCGTGCTAGCTATGTTCGGAGATCGGCGGTGAGAGGGGGGGAAGAGACAAATCACAGGTTCACTCTGATAGTGACCGTGACGAGACCAATCCTCCCAAATACATACTCACCCTCCCAGGTCCAGCGACCTATTACCAGGAAATCCCACCATATAGATTACCAAAAAGCCCATGTACTCGTACAGTATCTTACCAGGCAGGCCTCATCTCCCCTATTCGGGCCAACCAACCGATCAACCAACCGAGTGACTTCACGGAGCGCTGTAGCAGTCCTCCATCATCCAACACGTTCCGAAATCTCCCTTGTCCATCATCTAACATATACTCGTAGGGAGGCACTAAACCCGGAAGTACAGGACACAACACAAACCCTACTCTCTAAAACACACATTCATAACCCCCAAGGTTGGGATTTATGTATTGTATCCGGGCGCCCAAGAATTTACTGGGCGATACGCAAGTACGGTACGGGACATTCCATGGACACGTCGCGCCTGACAACTATTTATAGATATGATATTGGGTTAATCGTGGACTGGGTAGGGGAGCGCGTGCCCTATTGACTAGCTGGCTAGGCGATTGTTTACCAGAATGAGAGAGGGACAACTCATTCATGATCTGAGCCGGTTGATATGGGATTTGAATTTGGGGAAATTTTTTGTGCTTATGGGGACATCGTATTCCCGAGATGACAGCGGGTGAGATAGGGGGTTAACTACGAGTGGCAATGACAGATCACTCATGAGTAGAATTAGTGCCCAGCTTGCAAGTACCGTATCTATCAAGCCAGCATCTCCAGAAATAACCTACAAATTATCGATCCAACCTTCCCAAAAGGGAACAAGGGAAAAAAATAGTGTACATTCCAAATATTTAATCGAATGATAATACATGACTAATAATTACCTATACTTCTGCTCCCACTCGGCCCCCCGCGGTCAACCCAACCCCGGCCTCTCCCTCCACTGCCATTTCTGCTACCTGCATCCCGCCCCTCCCCATCCCTCCTCCTGCCCCACTCGTTTCCCTTGTCCTTCCCCTTACTCAGGATCTCCTTCCCCTTCTCCCTCGGATCAATAACTACCATCTCCTCATTCCTCTTCTTCCAAGTCAGATCCTTGCCCAGTCGGTCCTTATCAAAGCTTAACGCATGGGTCCACAACCCTACCGCACCGCCATCAACATCGTCCTCCTCTTCGAAATGTGCATTGCAGGAAAGGCAGTTTGGTATGAAGTGGAGGTCGCACAGGCTGGACTCGTCGTCATGGTCAAGTACCTCAATCGGCCTGCCACCCGTAGTCGCTCCCACTTCTGTGGATGGGATAGTGCCGGTGGTACTGGTAGTGGTAGGAGAAGGGGCAGAGTCAAGTTTTGATCTGAAGCGTTGAAGAGCAGCGTAGCCGTCACCGTCGTCTGCTGTGGCTTTTGCACGTTTCCGCTTTCGGCCCTGGACAGATGTTGAAGGCAAGAGTGACTTGTGGATGCTTAGAAGACTCTTCTTTGTTTTTGTTTCTGCTGTGGGAGGGCTGGTTCGGCGTTTCAGGCTTTCTTTGAGGGCTGCGATTTCGGCATTAGTCTTTTGTAGCTTTGTTAGCTTTGGTGAGGGAGCTCTTCGGATTGTTTGCGGCGGGGGTGTTGGTGATGGGGAGGGCGCCGGATCTGATATTCCTTCATCTTCGTGATTAGCTTTGGCGATCGTTTCAATTGTTATGGGCTGTTTATTGACTGATTCTGATGCCTCCGGTGCGACCTTTTCCTTCCGGGGGGCCCTATCCTCCTCGTCCGCTGATGGTGCCGCAAGCACTAGCTTGGCATTGAATTTTGGTTTCTTGGCAACTGCAGGTCCTTCCTCGCCGTCCTCATCCCCGCCGAAACTGAGTAATGCCTTGGTCTTCTTTTTCTTCCCACCACCCTTTTTTTTGGGCTCTCCCTCGGGCCTTTTCTCCTCGTTAACCCTAGCGACCACATCCCCAAATGGATTAACCAGAACCTCCACCGTAGAAATCTTAACATCGTAGACCGGCTTCTCACCCCCCTCCACAACCCCCATCTCCCCGATCCTAACAAGGTTATACAACGTCTCCCCAACCACCTTCCCAAACATGGTATTCCTACCGGTCAGCTCCCGGCACTCTCCGAGCGTAAAGAAGAACTGACTCCCATTGTCATTCCTCCTCCCGGAATTCGCCATCCCAACCAGCCCCCTACGATTGAATTTGAGGCGGGGGTGGAACTCGTCCGCAAATAGACCACCGGGGTAGATTGCCTCGCCGCCATGGCCCAAGGAGGTGGGGTCGCCGCCCTGTAGAATGAAACCGGGGACGAGACGGTGGAAAATTGTATTGTTGTAGTAACCGTCCAGACATAATTGCAAGAAATTGCGGGTAGTCAGCGGGGTCTGCTTTGACCAGAGTTCCAGGGAGAGATCGCCATGGGTTGTTTTTAGGACGACTTTTGCGCTGGACGAATGGGAATCAGCATTGTATATAACCTTGCGGGGTACAGCATTAGGAAGAAAGGGGAGGGGGGAGGAGGAGATTTTTACTCTGTTTGCGGCTCAAGATTGTATTGCGTAGCCATGTTTGCTTGCTGGAGAATGGCTACGGGGGTGGAGGGATGGGGATGTTGGTTTAGAGGTGGAGATCAAGCGAAGCTGGACGCGAGATCAGTTCCACGCAGAACCACGCCAAAGCTTAGTAATCATCGCCTGTTAGGGCGCAACTTTACCGGTACTGTATCAGACTCGAGTACGAGTACTGGGGCACCATTAATGTATCATACGAGTCCCTCGAGTACAAGTGCCAAGGATAATGTTTTCGCACAGTTAATTTAGGTTAACCCGTAAAAAATAATCCCTGGGTTGGCTTGCCCAATGGAACGTAATGCCTGAAGTTGGTGACCAGGATTGGGATACGACTTGTACGGTAGTTAGTTTGATAGCTGCGAATATTATGGAATTAACCTGTCTTGCACGAAAACATCTCCCCTGGCACATGTACTCGAATACTGCATCATACCGTACCGTGGTCATAGTCGGGTTAAAGGTTTAAGAAATGCTCATGGCTGACTAAGCCACCGGAAATAAAGCCCATTAAAGAGGCCAAGCCCATCTCTTCCATTTCTGGGGGAAATTCGTGTGCTGGCAGCTGCAGTCTGCCTACTATCGATTTTTGGGGCTGGGCAGAGAGAGCAACAACTGGCAAGTCTCCACGTCACTTGTTTCGGTGGGCGCTATCCTCACTTCTTTTCTTTTTTCCTTTTTTCCCTGGACCCAGTGACACGTCGAGGCGTGGGTCGGATTTGGAAGGAAGGGAGGAAGGCACGATTGAATAATAATAATAATAATACTTGTAATAATACCCTACCCCAACTACTCGAGTAACATGACGCCTGTCCCGCCGTCGCCGCCTCCGGGAATCCCTCGACACTTTTGGCCTGAGAGCAATTGCGGTGCGAGGAGATATCGAAGAAAACTATAACTCTGGTTTCACCTCAATCATCATCGTCATTACCGTTTGATTCTATACTTGTAAGGGTATCATGCCCCTCTTTATGTTACTGCAAGTCTCGTCGCATGGGAAGGTTGAATGCTGCACTTGAGCTTGTAAAGTTCCTGTACAAGTTCTCTCCGGTATTACAGTGCTTACATCCACGCCAACTTTACCTTATTCTGGTATGATATGATATTCCTACTTGAGTAGGTCAAGAAACCGTGCCCACAAATTTTCCAATGTCCCTTGTTCCACTACTCGCGCTTTTAGAACTTGGCTTCCTGTTGGCTCAATTGTCACTCATCCATTCGAGCATAATTCACCGCTTTCCTATTGTCCCGTGTGGTCGCAGCTGGTTCGGCAATCTCTCGATTGAAAGTCCCGAGTGTCTTTTCCCTGCCCTTTGAGTGGAACAGGACAGCAGTCTAGCTCTCCGGAGACAGCTCAAATAGCCGTGCATGCCCTCCCCCCCCCCCCACCCTCCACCCCCCCTCTTCTGCAACGCTCCATATCACATCGCATATTCATCACCACGAGAGAGACGGACGAGGCTCTGCTTCTTACCCATTCTCATAATTCATACTTATTACCTGTGCCTACCACTCTCCTGCCTGTACCTATCCTTCCAATTCATTCTGCGTATTCACTCGCACTCAAACACTCTCACACACTTTCGATAATAAGAAGATGCCACCATCCCTTAAACGAAAGTCCAACCCTGATGCCCCACATACTCCCTCCAAACGACTGCGAACAGATGGCCTCTTCACCCCCCGAGTGATGGCTCCTACCGGTGCTAGTCGATACATTCCCCGGGCCCCAAGTTACCAGTCTTCCGCGGCAAGCCCCGCCAAGCGCATATCGGACGAAGAACATGTTGAACAAGGCTTAAGCAGTAAAGTCCGAATTCTAAACAACCGGGAATGCCTCCATCTCTTACCTTCACGCAAGCCATTATCGGTACCAGTCCCAGTGCTACAGAGGAAGATCAAGCCTCGTAGTCGAATCAGGAACGCTATTATTGCCAGACTATCACGACGTAGAGCCATCCTTTTACAAAAACAGAAGCTGGAGAATATGATGGAGCGTATGGATTCCGACAATGTATATTACTTCTCTGAAGGTCTCTCAGATGACATCAAGCTCTTCACCTCACGCAGTCCTGCCTCCTTCTCAGGTAAGTATTGGACTCATGGACTCTCACTCGAGATCCTCCTCTGATTGTTGCATGATAGGCTTCAGCGTAGATATCCCAGATCTGGAGATGGATGTTGGGGAGCCAACGGATTGTACTGCCGAAATCACCCCGGAGAGTCCTTCTCAGCCGGCTTCCGACCCTGAGCCGCCAGTCAAAGAGAAGGTCACGACGGGGGCACTGGAAGGGGGCACTGTGAAGGGCGGGGGTGCGGACGAGGAATTGGTCCAAGAGCGCAAGCCCAAGCCGGAAGGGAGAGGGGGGCGAGAGAAGGACTCAATGGAGGATGCTGAAGCCGAGCCGGAGGGAGAGAAGGATTTGGTGAAGGATGACGAGCCTGAGGAGAAAAAGGACGATAAGAAGGAGGCGCCTGAAACCCTATCAACCAAGGACAAACTTGTGAACGACCGTATTAAGGAAAGATTTGGGGAAGATGGTATGATTTGCCTTAATGTAAAGACAAAGAAGGCTGAAGAGGAGGAAAGTACGGCAGCGAAGAAAAGTCCTATTAAGAAGAAGGTCAAGGTTGTCTTGCCGCCAACTCTCGAGGAGGACGAGGAAGAGGACGAAAAAGAGGCGGAATTACCCAGGAAGCGGGATCTAGGACCCTCCAATCCGCGAAAGAAGGGAGAAGAGGCAGATGATACGTCCGGTTCGGAGGGGGAGGATAGAGAGGGGAAGCATAGGCGGAGAAGCTCGCGATCTAGAATCAGGAAGAACGAGGGTGAGGAGAGAGGAGAGGGGGAAGAGAAAGAGAGGGAGCTTGAGGCCCACGAAAAGGTGTCGCAGCGAGAGCCGAAGCATGCAGACACCGATCTCTCGGATACTGAGAAGGATGACGATGAACTGAAGCAAGAGAAGGGAGGGGAGGCATCTGCTCAGGTAGACAAGATGGAAGAAGACGCAGACGCAGAGAGTGCCGGAAGCAGTGGGGAAGATACGGACATGAGCACCGATGACGGGGTTCCCACTGAGACGGTAGAGTCTATCGAGGAAGAGGATGTGACCATGGATGAGGACAGTAGCGACTCGGGTGATTCGAGAAACACTTCAGATCAGAAAAAGGAGGTTGAAGGGGAGAAACGGGGGAATGGTTTGTATCACCTTACCCTACTTAGCCGAGAACTTAATAGACTAACGGCCTATGCAGAACATGAGGCAGACAATGAAGATAATCGGGGATCGTCTACTATCATCAAGACCGACTCGAGATCCTCTAACGAAGAGGCGAAAAAGTCAAAGCGAGTTAAGGCTCTCACTCTCTCCTCCCAAGCTGGAGAGATAGAAGGTATGCCTTGTGCCGGTCCCCATCAACATTCCCATCTAACATTTCCTAGTCGCCCCCACACCCAAGACACCAAGCAGCGCAGCCTCTCTCCGCTACAGTTTTTCCATCTCCAAGACCCCAAAGTCACCTCGCTCACCCCGACTCTTCAAGCATGATTTAGTCCCCTCATCTCCCCTAGGTTTCAGCACCTTCGTAAAGAAAAAGAAGACTCTACTCAAACCCGAGATTGAAAGAGATGCCGGTTTGTGGATGTTGGGGAAGAGTAGTGGGCTTCATCCCAAACGTAGACGGCAGCTCCCATTTAACCCAGCCAGTAAGATCCATCCATTCTCCTAAGTACACATTAGCAATCGATTTATTCACTAATAATCTGATAGACGTTTCAAGACATGCATATCGCGATTCCGATTCCGATGATGGAGAAGACATGTATACCCACCATCACCACGGTTTCCAATCATCGCGATGGGAAACTGGCGAAGCGGAGGACGACGACGTATACTTGCATCTCGGTTGGTCCTGGGATGGCCGTGGCCGCTACAATAGTTGGATGATGGAGCATGGAGGTCCTCTGCTCGAATTTTGCGTAAGAAAGCTTGAAGGGTTTAATATGGCTTGGTAATCGATAAGGCTGGACAACTATATTTTCATTTGCTTTCTCCGGGTCGGGGTTTGTCGTGTTTCTATCGATTCACGGCGTACAGAAGGTTGGGAGCGTATTGGTGATGATCATGACGATGGATCGATGATGCCAAGGGATTGCTAAGATATGAGGCCGGCTGACGGTTTTAATTTTCCGCCTCTTTTAACTATATTTCATTTGGTCATTCCTCTTCCTTGGTCTGTGGGTGTTTGTGAATAGTCTTCTGTACAATACGGTAGGAGTCCTGGAGTGACAGGTTTGATTTTCTGCTCGATCAGCTAGAATGAATGGCAGGCCATCACCGGCTGGAACCAAAACTGTTGCATCGGGTCGTGCCCCAATTATTGAAGAGAACCAACGGATGGTAGATGGAAGTAAATTATCACAATCCAGTTGTGGAATGCGAGGAGAGAGCTCAAAAGTGGGAGAGTTCATGTGGGTGGTTTTCCCTTGGACTTGAGGGTCAACGTGAAAAGAAGATCGCGGTACCTTATCACGCGAGTGCAGCAAGAGTGGTCCCTTAGGCCCTGTTTGGTTGCGCTGGGCCCATTTTGGACCATTCCAGTGTGAAATGGATGGACCTGGAGAAACGGTTGCCAATTTGGCACCATTCACTAGTGGCAAACATATGAAAAATTTTCACCTTAGGGCCTGGGGATGAAATTTTACCATTGCCTCTAATCCTTCTTGAATTCAAACTTCAAGTTTCAACACTCCACCAACAACCTTCTTGAATTCAGACCTCTTCTGGGTTCCTGCACCCCTGCTCTCTCCTAAGACTATGGCTACTGCTTCTCCCGGCTCCAGCTCCCGGCTCCAGCTTCTCCTACTCCTACTACTGCTCTGGGTTCCTGCCTGTGTCTCCTAGCTTTTGGCTTCTAGTTTCTGGGTTCTGGTTCCTGGCTCCTACTACTATTGCTTCTCCTACTACTCCTACTCCTGTAGCTATTGCTGTTTCTAGCTCTAGTTCCAACTCTGACTAGCACTCCCACTGTTGTGCCAACTCCTGTTTCTAGCTCTCCATCTCAGTTCCTAGCTCTCTGGTTCTAGCTCCCAGTACCTGCTGCAACCAGCCAACCCGTAGCTGCTGTCTCCTACCCCCAGGCGTCAGTTTCAGCTCCTAGTTCTACTCCGACAACTGTTCCTACTACTACTGCTATTCCTAGTAGTACTCAGGTATTAAGCTTCTAGCTTCTACTTTCTACTTTCTACTTCTACTCTCAGCTTACACTTCTGGCTCATATTACAAGCTTCTACTCAAAACTCCAACTTCTGGTACCATCTCCAGATATTTACTATAGACTTATTATTTTAAGTCCTGCTTAGTAGAACTACTTTGGCTTTGGTATCTTAACCTTTAACTGCCCTTTAATAGATAATAATAATATTGGAGGAGAGGCTTTTTATTGAAATATTAATTCCTCTTTTGATTTTACTTTTATCTTTGATATTACATTATCTGGTCAGAAACAGTTCTGGGACTGTCATTTTCTCTTCATCAATAATCTCCAACCCTTCTCTCATTGGTAATTGATACTTAGTAGGAGTCAGGAAAATCCAGCCATCAGAGTAGATAATATAAGATATAATAATTCTATATGGATGAGCCATGACAACCTAGATCTACCCCCATACAAATAACTAAATAGTTAAGTTATAAACAAGATGGATATGCAGGACCATAGCCAAGGAAATATCTGATAGTCTGGGTATCTCTAATGAGTATAAGGTATATAAGGGATAGATGTACCTAAGTAGCAGTGGTAAAGTGACTACATCTGTACTGGCTTAAGGTTAGGTTAGTAGAAGGCAAGATAAAGTCATCAGCATCTTCACAAGTCAAATTACCCTACCATGGAGATGGGTTTCATCTTACTATGGATATAATTACCTGACCTTAGAGACACTATTACCCTATCTTGCATTGGAAATATTCTCTGAGGAATTCCAGTAAAAGTGAAGATTATTTGTTATATAAGGATAATTGTTGGACACTTTCTTACACATTAATCAGAAGAGTATGCAGGAAGCTAGAGAGCTCTGAACATGCTGGAAGTTGGTAGAATTATCTTTAACAGGTACCTGCAGCCACAGGATTTACCTCCTAGCATAAGGATCCAAAACTGGGTAAAGTTGCTAGCTTTTTAGTTAAGAGAAGTTAATAAAAATATGTTTATAATACTGTATGGGTTGCTACTATCTGTGTAATAAGAGGCTAGTTGTAGGATATATATAAGAGACAAGGTAAAAGGGTCAAGTACCTTCGCTAAGTTGAAAGGAGTAAAATAGACTAAAACTGATACAGTTAGTATAAGCTATCTGAAAGGGTCATACAGGTAGTTCCAGGATGGTATAGACATTATAAAGATTTCATACTAATTTAGCCTACTTGTATCCATTTGCTGTAGGCTCATGGAAGGTTGTTTCCAGACTCTAAAAGCTTGATTCTTATTGGAAATAGAAGTGCTCCAGGGGTAAGGAACTATAGATAGTACCAATGGTTTCTGTTGTTACAGTAGCTTGCTATGTGAGTATTATAAGCCTCTATAGTTTATAATTAAGACAGAGAGAACTTGACCAAAGGTAACCAGAAATCTATTGGAGCTTGTTTAAATGATTGCACATAGGTAGAGAGTTAATTAGTTAGCTCTCTCAAGTAAAGGGACAGTTAGCCACTGGCAAGATACCTAGATACAGAAGTTTTCTCTCTGAAAGGTATATTAATATAGTTCAAGCAGTTCAAAAAGGGAACCTGGCTGTGCAAAATGTGTTACATATGGCTGTGCAAATTTGATTGTTTAGACATTTAAGTAAGAACATGTGAAGATTAATTTTATATAAGGTTTGAGGAATAAGGGTCAAACCAAACTGTTAACCTGTATGTATAATAGTAAGGAATGTAAGAAGAATATATAAAAAATATATTATTATATAATAACAGGTTAAGAGTAAATTAAATTTTCACATTAGCTATTTGATTGTAGGTTTGGATTTTGTATTTGTCTGAAATTAGTGATTCAATAAATATCAAACAATGATTTAATAAAACAAATTCATGCTTACTAAGACAATCAAGTGTGGCTCAACGTAATACTTTTTACTCTTTTACACCAAAAATACTATTTTTTAAATCCTTAAGGCTCTACAACTACAAACATATGTGCCAAAAAAAAAACTGTTTTGCATTCTCCTTCATTTTCTCTTTCAGAAACAGGTTTCTTTCTTGGAATTAGGGTTGTAGTTGTGGAGCCTTAGGCATTTAAAAATGATGAAATTTGATGGTTCCCTTTTTGCACTGCTTGCACTATAATATTTCACAGAAGGTGATGTATATATAGGAAACTGCAGCTAGAGTGTACTGACAACTTAGATACATCAGAAATATGGGAATAGAACTGAACAACCCTCAGCAGAGAAGGTTATACTTGTATTAGTTGCAGTAACCTGATAGAGGAGGTTTTAGTCTAAGTATAACTACTGAAAGATTATATAAGAACTCTTCTACTACAATACAATCAGTATTCTGTTAAGACTTTAATTGAGATAAACTTCAGCTTAATAATATTAGGTTTCACTATTTACTAGTTTATTCTTTTCTATCTGTAAGAACTATATACATAAAATTTTAAAGTTTAGTCTAGTCATATTCTTAGAGTCCATCTGTCTATGGGAGCCTCTACTATAATATATTATTAGGTGACTATTACACTTGACTCTATTCTTGATGTTTATTCTTTTTTTACTTTTGATGAAACCTAAGGTTGAAAAAATCATAATGATTCAACAAGTCAAGATGGAAGAGCCAAAGTCAAGTTCAGAAAGTTTGAATTTTGATAAGAACCGATTAGAGGCTGTCCTTTTTAGGACTTCTATGTTGGCAGACACCTGAGGCATCAGAAGAAGGAGCACCTAAGTGTCTGTTGATGCTGCTCCTATGGAAGTCCTTGAGATATATTGCAATCGGGTTATCCACGATTTTTGCATAGTTGTACTCTAGTTTTAAAATAATATCTCCTGTCCTCAGGGAGCATAACAATCTTATGTTCTAGAGCTATGGCAACCTAAGTCTATGCTCATAGGTAAGACCAAGAGGTTACATAATAGACTAGGCAGGCAAGAGGATGTATGTTGGAGAGATATCTGATAGTCCTAATATCACAAAGAATACAAGGTACTTAAGGAATAAATATACCTAAGTAGCGGAAATAATATGACTATGTCCGCTCTGGCCTAGGGATAGGTTGAAAGGCTGGATGAGTTTACCGTGTCTAGGAGAATCATGTTACCCTACTGTAGAGACTAGTTTCCTGTTACCATGAACATACTTACCTTACCTTTAAGACACCATTACCCTAACTTCTATTGGAAATGTGCTTGAAGGAATTCCGGGAAATGTTAAGATTGTTTGTCGCATGATAACGATTGACAGGCACTTACTGGCATGTTGATTAGAAGACTACAGGAGGGGCTGTTATACTCCAAACATGCGGTAACTTGACAGAATTATTTCTAAGAGGTACCTGCGGCCCCAGGCATTGGCCTGGGCATTATGGGCCAAAATGGGTGGAGTGGCTGTCCTACTAGTTAAGTGGAGTCTATGAAGACATGTCCATAATACGGTATATGTCACTGCTGTCCACCCAACTGGAAGCTGTTGGCAGGATATATAAGGGGGCCAAGGTGAGAAGGTCAAGTACCTTCTCCAAAAAGAACAGAGTAAAACAGACCAAAACTGATGGAGTTAGGGTGAGCTATCCAGAAGGATCCCCAGAGTAGTCCCAGGTAGGGCTGGAGACAACTGGGAAGGTTTTACACCAATCAAGGCTATATATGCCCCTTTGCCATCGGCTCTGTATAGGTTATTTGAGGACTCTAATAGCATGATACTTATCATGGTGAGTGGTGTGCCAAGGGTAAGGGACCATGGGTAGTATCCATGGATTCTGCCGCTGCTACAACTCTCTGTAGAAGTTCCTTAGACCTTCTAAGTTCACAATCAAGATAGATTGAACTTAACCGGAAGATAGCTGAGGTTTATGGGTGCTTGCATGGGTCATAGCACATGGGAAGAGAGTCATTTAGTTAGCTTTCCTAGGTGTCTCAACAGTTAGCCAATGATGAGACTCCGATGTATACAAGTTTTCACTCTGGTAGGTGTATTGGTAAACACCTGGTAGGAACTGATATGCATATAGGAGATTGCTGCTAGGGTGCGCTGATACCTTAAGCCCTTCAGGAATAGACCAATGGTGCTGGGCAACTCTTACAGGGAAGGCCATACTCGTGTTGGTCAGGGTAACCTGATGGCACAGTTTTTGGTATAAGTCTGACTACTTTAAGATTATACGAGAACTCTCCTACCCCTACACAATAGACATCCTCTTGAGAGACTTTAATTGAGATAAGCCTGAGCTTAACGATATTAAGTGTTACTGTTTACTTTTATTCTTTACATTTT